TTTTCTTTTCTGACCTGGATGGTTTGGTCGTGGAGTTTTCATCGTTCTTCTGAATGACATCCTCAGTACAAACGTTAGGTTGAAGTGGAGTATTTGAATTTCTCCACATATGACTCATAGCTTGTCCTGTAGACCTCGATCTTGTCTGGTTATTGTTGACGTTTAACCTGCCTTTGCTTACTTTTTTATTTTGATTGCACTGTCCATTGATTTGATTCTTGGTCCTATATTTGTCCAGAATTTTACTGATTGGTTAATAAGTTGGATCGATTTCAATGTGCTTGTTGATTGCTGATTGACCAGAGTGCCAATCTTCTAAGCACTATTTTATGTTTTTAGAATTGTCTCTATCCAAGATTTCTACATTTTCCCAGTCAAATGTGTGTCCACAATTGTCTACATGCATTGATCAAAGCGAGTATAAATCATAGCGTCTTACCCCTAATTTTTTTTACTTGGCGGCCTGCTTGAATATCTGGGCTACCTGTTCCTCCGATCTAGATATTTCATCAAGTTATCTGTTTTGTTGTTTGTTTTAGCACATCATTATGTCTATTGTGCGCACAACTTATTCACGCGCGTTTATGAAAAGTTTACAACTTTTCGCTATAAGTGATACAAAAAGGTACAATCAGCGACATCATGGTAGCTGGCAATATGCATTGAAACTAATGAACATTAATCAAATGTGGATTACCGAACTCCTAACATCTAACCGGTCATCATTCAAAATTTATCGTCACAATCGATCAAGGTATAAGAAAAGGAAACTTGTTGAAATACTTTATGCTCAGAATTCTATGTTGTACCAAAAATATAATGTTGAATAAAGCTTCTAATAATAAAAAAATAATAATAAAAATTGATGTTCGTGAAGGCAAAGATGAAGAAGGCGTCCGCTTTGTCCGATGTTGTGTTTTTCTCAGTCGGAACAATTTGTTTTGTAGATAGTGTTCAGTTTTCTTCTGTCATTCCGCTTGCATAGGATGGATTGAAAGTGACTTTGTTCGTTTATGTGATACATTTATTCCAGAAGACCTCAACAACCTCGTTGAAATTTCTGATACGTCTTTTTCATGTATGAGGATAATCCGTTTATTGGTTTCTGCACTTGATTTCGTTTCTGCTGATGCTTTTGGTTGGTGTTTTTTGACGAAATTGATTGGATAGCCGTTCTTTTGGAAGATAGTATTTAGATATTTTTCCTCATTTTCACCGCTGCGTATTACAATGTGTTCTCGTCTTTTTGAACAAATTTTGTACGCAGTTGATTTTATGAGCTCTCGTGTTGTTGCTACTTTAGTTGAGAATTTGATCTGTGTGGGTCGGTTTCCGATAAACTTGGGTCTTCAGTTTTTCTGTGTCGGTTCTGGTGATTAATACATTCAAGAATGAAAGTTTGTTCAATTTATTTGAAACTATCAAGTTCAACCTTGGTATGGATACCAATAATGGTAGTTTGTTGTTTGACTCCTGGTTTATTGTGAGCTTGAAGTTATCAAAAACGTCGTTGATCAGATTGCAAGTGTTTTCCAGATCGTCCTTCATGACGATGACGAATGTGTCGTCATGCACTTAATATTGCATTGTCAATGATCAAAAATGAAAGTTATTTATTCCATAAATGATATTCGTGTTAACTTATAATAAAGGTTATCTAATGGGATTAATATTAACTTGCATTTTGATAAGTATAAAACAAATAGATGGAAAGAAACATATATTTCCTGCCATGATCTTATTCTCGAAACTACAGAATCGTATCTATGTACAATAACTATTAACCATATTTGTAAATCAATATACCACAGAAAAGTCTATACTTGGGTATAAAAATATATTAAAAAATGTAAAACTGCCTGAAATCCCTCTTGGGCTACTGACGGTCCTCACTTGAAATCCTCAAGGTCAAAGTAAAAGAGGAAGACCAAAGAACACATTACACCGAAAAATGGAGACAGACATGAGAAGAATGAACAACAATTAGATAGAATTAGAAAGAAAGACCCATGACAGAATGAGTTGAAGAATGCTTGTCGGAGGCATGTGCTCTATTGTGAGTAACAGGCGTAAGTAAGTAAGTAATAAAAAAAATAAACCAACAAAACAATCTGTTCAGCTCAAAAAATTAACAAACAGAGATTCAAGATTTATCTATATAATGAAATATTGTTTTAGTTTTTCAATTATGCAGATATAAAAATCATCGTAAATTAGAATAGGATCAAATAAAATTTAATGAGACAATAACAGTATAGAAAGAAATGAGAATTGTGAATTTTAATTCATTTCACAAAGCAAATTAGATGTAAACTTAAATATTTTTTTTTTAAAATTTTGATCTATAAAATAGTAAAGAGATATAAGTCTTATATTACACAGTTATAATCAATTATACATTCTGAAATATATGATCTTAAAGGAGCAATTTTCATAAATAATCAATAATGTACTCCTTAATACATGAACCTGGTTTTAAGTGAACAGATTAACTAGTATATGCATATTAAATCGGTTGGCGGGTGACTGAGATAGATCAATTTAGAATATTTGTGCCGTACACATAAGTATATGGGTGAGTGCCTAATGAAGGACACTTATATAAAAGTTATTCATAATTAAATCGACTTTGAAGGATTAAGGTTTCTCCGATGTATCTTATGTGGAGAATATCGAGGCTCACAAAATAATATAACTATTTACACGTGTATATTATGATTATTATTCATCTGTCCAGTCCGGATAGATCTTTACATGATCTCACCACTTCACTACATGAATATAACATTGAGCAGTGAAACCTTATAGGCAACTCCTTTTCAAGGATGATTTGGATACTTATATGACATACATTAGATATCTCATGTAGGTTTTGGAACTATGGATTTAGCCACAGATGATATATATGTCATAAAGATACCCCTTGTGTATATTAAAGCTTACTCATAGACTTTGATGAAATATTATTCTCAATAATTTCTGTAAAGAAATCATAGCTTAATGGTATTCCAAAGTTATTGCTATTTGAGCTAATTAATTATCGAAACTCAACGATTTAAACTACATATATAGAAATGATGTTTTTCAAGCGAGATTACAATATGGCAATATTCATTTTGCAAGCATCGTCATAAAAATATATTTCTCGTTATTCGATACAATTTTCGACTATTTTTACATATAACATTTAGTGTTTATCAAATAGCTTAAGTTTATTATCAATGTACTTTGCTTTTTAATTGATCGTAACTACTGGATGACCTGTAGTGCAATAATAACAATAATTCGAGTCGTTATTAGTGTGTTACTTTTCTATAATATTGGAGATTATTTCTCCATTTTCTAAAAATTGTTTAGGGGGCCTATGTTATGGTGTCTGAGAAATGTTCTTACATATATTTTTTTCAGCAGATTGATTAGGTTGCTCTATTTTTATTAATGGTGTACGTCTATCTGAATATACAGTTGGTAGGTATTTATTTTGTAATAAAGTGATCAGTGAACTTTCGAAAAGTATATATCATTAAATCAGTGTTTCATTTCTGTTTAAGACCTATTAAGCCACTAGTTTTATTCAGGAATTTGTTTAATTTCTCGATGTCACACGAAAAGTTTATGAAATCTAATTAAATCAAATTTAGATATATTAATTCTTATTTCATTTAGTATTATTTGTTTGAATTTTCCCATTGATGTTTAGGACATCAATACTGGGATGCAGGTACATCAAGCTGACGAGCCCCGAATAGGACGAAACACACGTCGTCGATTCCATTGCCAGCCACTAACCCTCTTTGCTTATTAATTCTTATTTTGTTTCTCATAATTTCATAGAATCATATTATATGCTATTGAAGATATATTTATAGCGACTCACGTGCAGTTGGGATTATTCTCATTTAACTCAGTTAAGCCCATTTATTAACTTATTTAGCGGACAAAGTCATCCTTACTATAACAACTTATTGTACCTTTATTATTGTTGTGTTTGTATGAAATATGTATGCTCGAACATAGTTTACAGCCTACGCACATATTCATTCTGCTAGCTTTATTACTAGCTGCTTAATTAATTCGATGATCTATTCATTTCCCTATATATATATACACGTACATTTACACTCTACACACACTGTACACTCTCGGTTCGCTGACTCATTCATTCGCCTCACTGCTTTGTGGTCTGAGTATCTGCTAATAAAACTCTAGTAGCTGCTTCTCTTTGCCTTCTGATTTCAAACACCGTTGAGGATTATATGGTAACGGTTACGAGGGTGATTGGTTGGCGAATATATTTTCACTTTAACATATTGGTATCATCTAAAAAAATAATGAATAACGATCCTGACGAAAAATTTTTATTCACATATCCTAAAGTATCATTTACATTTAATGAATAAACAACATTTCATTAAATTAGTATACAATATTATTCATATGCATGTATTTTTCGAAGTATATACTGATCTTTCAATCAAATGAATATATGATCCTGTAATTTTAAATCAAGACTGAATTAGGTATGACCAAATTATCTATAATTGAATACAATTTTGTTGTTGTTGTTGTCAAATGATACAGAAAGTGCAAGAAAATATATTCATAAGCTTTATGTAATATAATTAACATACAAAATAAAAGAGAAGATATGCATATTATGACAGAAACATACATCATTCACACTGGGTCAACACAAATCATGTGTCACTTCAACGGTAACTGATGATAATGTATAATCAAATAATAAATAGTTAATGATTCAATGAAATCAAAATAGAGTCAAATAATTAAATTCAATTATTCACTACAATTTAATAGTTTGACAAGGAAGGTTTTTATTAAAACTAACAATCTATAATAATCATAATAATTTAATTTTCAATTGGAGTTTGTGTAACACTTGTCTTTACTGACTGATTATCATTTTCAATATTAGTTGTTATGGTAAAACAATTTGGAATTATTTCAGAAGTTAAAAATTCTTCATTTTTATTACTGTCATTATTATTATTATTATTATTACTATTGTTATCATCATCATAATTTATTTGCCAAAGATTTTGGCTTTGCTGTTGATGATGATGATGGTGATGATGATGATGATGACAATGGTGATTATTTGGAATCGTTGACAATTTGGATTCATTCAAATAATATTGATTATGTTCTATTTCCTCTTTATTATGTAAACAATGTTGTTTACAATTAATTTTCATTGTTTTTATATTTTGATTTAATTTATAATTTTCATTTGATTGTGTTAATTTCATATTATTTTTAAAACAAAGTAAATAAACAAATTCAACTAATTCAACTATAAATGCCATTGTTAAACCAATACATAATGAACATAAACCACCTATACGTGATATTAATATATAAATATCAAATACTAAACGTTCTTCTTTCATGATTGTATCAAAATCTTGTCTAATTAAACTAATATATGTATGTGTTCCATCATCAAAACGTTGATAATCATTAGAAAATAATGTACGTATTGAATGTAATTGATTTTTATTTTTTATTGGATCTATTGATGCATCAAAATTTTCTAATAATTCATCAATATGTTTTCTTTGATTTGGTTCATTTAAAAATTTATCAACATGTCTATATCCCTTTGTATATAAAGCAAGTTTATATGGATCTGGATCCCATGATGTAACACTTAATTTTGTATCATATGTATAATAACCACAACGTGGTATACAAACACCTTTTTGTACTGCTTTCTCTTTAAGTTGTTTTAAATCAGTTAATACTGTACCAAAACAATCAAGACGTGTTTTCATTTCTTCTGCTCCATGTATATTATTTACATTGATTGGTAATTTTTGACAATATGGTAAAGATTTATGTTGATCTAATAATTTAATTGATCGAGGCCATTCAGAATTAAGACAACCACATCTTGTAAATAATTCATTTTGTAACATACGATTAAGGCATTGACTTTGTTTATATGTATAATATATACCAAGATCTTCAATTGAAATATTTTCATTTGTACATGGTGCTACTGGGGTATGTAGACGTTTCCAAAATATTGTTTCATAATTAATTTCATTCATACGACCTGGTTGTATATTAACACCATGTTTTTCAATTTCTGGATAAGTTCCTTTTTCGTGTATAACAACTTTAATACCTTCACCACGTGTAAATGAATCCATAATAAATGAAGTATTTGCGCCTTCAATTTTTTTTAATGGTATTAAATGTGCTAGAATAATTAATCGTGTTACATCAGAAGTTGAGGCATTCGGTTTACCATCTATAGTCCAACAATTAAAGTATTTAGGATGTGTGAAACGTCTTATTCTGATAGATGTTTCTGGTTCTAAATCACATTTTTCTGCAACAACTGTTGAGCCTTCTTCATATAACATGCAATGATAAAGCATATCTTTATCATGACCGACTTTAATTGTATCATTTAAATTTAAATTGGTATAATAAAATTCTATTGAATCTGAGAAAGCTAAATCACCAGTATAATCTGTAATACCATTATCTAACATTGTTACTAATAACTGTCTTAAACGTGATTTAATCTGTCTTGGACTTGGTACAATATTTTCTTTCCATAAACTATTCACATTTAAAGAAAATGGATTATGTGCACATAATGTGATTGCAGGGAATTCAGATTTATCATCTAATAAACTACGTGTATTCCAGGCTGTAGAATAACATAAATAATCAGAAATTAAAAAACCGGAACTAACCATTAAAACACATGTCATTATAATAACAAATAAAATCCATAAAATACGAATAAATGGAATTTGTGAACTATAAATTCTCTGTACACCACGTATTGAAGATAAAACACAAAATAATTCCAATTTTCCTTTAGGTTTATTTCTTCTAGTTGATATGAAACTATCATTAGGAATTGATACATTTTGATGCGTTTTTGTTGAACAAGTTATACACGAAGATTCATGTTCTGGTTGCTTACAATGATTACATTTGACTGATTCATCATAACCGGATAAACAATTTTCTTTAACAGTATAAATCATTGTTTAGTTACATTAGTTTGACAATCAGAAGGGTTCGATTTTGTCAGTTCCATTGTAACTAATAAAGAAAGAAACAAAGTGTTGAAAAAATAAGAACGACAAAATGATCCTAATTTCAACAAGTTTATTCACGGCGAGACTATAATTTATGGATGAACCAATCAGGTATTAGATAAAAGGTCATGGATTTTAGTGTGAAATTTACTCATTCATTTGTCAAAATACCGTTCTGGTATTATAAGTGATGTCAGTCCGTGATGAAAACTCTAAATCTAATTCTTAACCTTAACCATCAACTGTAAATTATAATTCTCATTCCTCACACTGTTTTATAACCTTCATTTAGTCCTAGTTAGTAAGTGAACACTCTCAAAGTCACTCTAGCGTCGCTTGAAGGTCGTCTATAAACTATAGTCTAATCTTATACACTAAGTAAAGTAATTATACAAGAAAGCAAATTCATTTTTGTGTTAATCAATAGTGTGTTCATGCAAAAAGCAATATGTCTATTATTTTATTATGAAACTTTCAGTACGTGATGCTAACAAGATTAGATCAGTATTCATATACAGTTGATGATGAACGTTACAGTTAGCAAGTCCCCATTAAGTGAATTAACGAAGTTCAATTACCATAAATTTAGCTGAGTTTACTTTAACTAAGTTACTTTCAAATAGATTGTATATTTAAAATAAATGAAGGTAGAAAATGATTCCATAACAATTGTTCTAATGAATCAATATTTACTAAAATAATATCTTATTAATTATAGTTGGAGTTAAGTAAATTCTCAGACTTTGATGGAGTTTTATTCTCTGAGCTGGATGGTTTGGTCGATGATGGAAGCTCCACGACCAAACCATCCAGCTCAGAGAATAAAACTCCATCAAAATCATCCACCTGAGTTACAAATCTTCTGCACCATCTCAAATTCTCATACTTTTCAAGTTAGCTTTGAATCTTTTCAAAGTACTCTTTTGATGTAAAATAATAATAAGTCAATTATCGAGTTTAAAGAGAACATCTGATCTTTTACCAAGTAATAAAGAAGTACCTAGATCCACATCCAGATATTTTGTCAGCAATCATACATTGTTAGCCATGAAAATATTTGAGAAAAAACTGGTGGATCAAATTTTCAAACCAGAATTTATAGAAAACTAATTCATACTTATCTGAAAACTTTAAAATGTTTAAATAAATTACTTACAGGGTAAGATTTAGAAAAAATCGGTTGTTGACAAAAGAATTTTAACACTAAGCTACTTTCTAGAGGTTTACATTTCTTGAACCGAGTCACATTATTTGAGAACAATGAAAATGATTTTGATGGAGTTTTGTTCTCTGAGCCGGTTGGTTTAGTCGTGGAGCTTTCATCGTTCTTCTGAACGACATCATAATCACAAACTTCAGGTAGAAGTGGAGTGTTCGGATGCAAACACTGATGTCGTTCAGAAGAACTATATAAGTTCCACGACTAAACCAACCAACTCAGAGAACAAATTTCTGTCAAAAATTTCATATCATTGTAATTTAATTGTGGACATTTGGATCTCTCATTTCTGTGCAAAAACCGCTCATTATTACTTCCACTTTGTTTTTTCTATCATCAAAACCGTCCACCTGAGCTACAAATCTTCTCCACCATCTCATAATTAAAACTCTTGGTAGTGAAAGAATATGCAAGTTAGTTTATCTACGTAAATATTATTTCTTTATCATCGAGCCACTCGGCAAAGATCAAATATTCATATAGTCATTGGATATGAACGGTATTTCTTTGTTTACATTTATAACATACTAGTCCGAATACATTGCAATTAATCGTTACATATATTCAAAATATCATAAATATTATTATACAGACTAACCATTTAAATAACTGGTAAACAGCAAAAATTGATAATGATATGAATAACAAAATAGTGAAAGGTTTACACAATAGTTCAACAAAGCTAAATTAGATAAATTAGACTTTTATGATTGGTCCGTATTTCCAACTTATTTTCCCTGCATATATGTATTTCTTTAGAATAACTTCTTGGGCAGCCTAATTCCGCCAGTATGTAAATGACAAACTGCAACTGCTTCTTCATGGTATCGTCTGCTCAAATGTTAGTGACACCCCTATCCCCACCTTGACCAGATATGACTCATAAAAATGTTGTCGCTTAAGAAAAAAAGAATACGGATTCATTAAACGTTGATCATTCTTAATCAATATCACGTACTGTATTGCCAGTCGGACCAGTGGCTGATTTCACGAATTTACACACTGACCAATGAATCAAAATTAAGACCTTGACGCTCCTTCCTAACCCAGAGGCTAATCAGAAGACAATGACAGGATGCAGATCAGTTCCCCATTGTACTAAAAACATGTACAATAATGTACCTGATATGACTGAGTCACCGATTGTTATGTTTGATCGTCGCTAATTGTTATGTCGGAATCGTTTTATTACTCATACTGAAATTCCCACAACGCGAGTAAGAACACTAAGATTGATAAAAGTGAAGATTTATTAAACCCTAAACACGATGAACCTAGTTGGAAATACACTCATTTATATATTGATTGTATACCCCTTTTAATCAATAATTAGCATAAAATCCCGTAAAAAATACCCCAAGTTGTAACAAATCGAATGCAGCTTGTCATTTCGAACACAGTTCATGTTAATTTAATACAAGCATATCGAAGTAACACAACACTCAAATTAATTAATGTTTTACAGAATAAAATATCACACTGGAAAACAGAAACAAATACTACACTGAACAATCATCATATTCATATAAAACGGAAGTAATGTTGAATAAAAATCATAAAGGGTAAAAGAATGTAGTTTTGCCTTTTAATCCCACCATATAAATACCGAAAGTGCCTGAACATACAGTACGCCAATCACATCATAAATGATAGAGAGCAGAGCAAACAGTATATAACCAATTAGCGATCATTTAGAAATAGTACAATCTATAATCATGATTTATCTGTCTACTGGAAGCTCATCATTAGAGGGATATAGAAGTATAACAATATAATTATAATCGATTCTTATCTACCAATTGTACATATATATATATATATATATATATATATATATATATATATATATATATATATATATATATATATATATATGAACGTTATATGAAAAAAGAATGTAATGTTAAATGTTTAGATTTGTGGAAAACGTTTGGCAATCAGAAATGAAAAAGAAAAGCAAATTAATGAAGTCAGGAGCCGTATTGCTTGATTGTGCTATTCCTGGTACCCTCGAAAATAACTTAATCCCAAAGTAATTCTTAGAGTTCTAGTGGTACACCGTGACCGATCGGGTTTGATTACATTTGAAATGAAAAAGATGCTGCTCAAAGCAATGTATTGAAGACCGACAGTATTGCGAATAAAGTTAGTAATATGAATGATTGAGTGACAACTTAGTGGTATAATTGTTAGGCCCTCGGTGTGATACCCCATGGTCTTTAACTCCGTGCCTGATATGGTTGTGGATACGCCCATCTAAAGAGTTCCACACTAGGACGAAACTTCTGTCTAGTTCCTTCTGGCCTTACATGGTGATCTAGTTAAAGCCTGCATGAGGTAAGAGCTATAAAGTTTTATGAAATATAGCTAACAACTTCTATACTGATACTAAAATTTATGGTCTTAGATCAAGGAACGTGAAGCTAACTTATAATATCTTCAAATTATCTCTAGCTAAATAATGCTCAGCATCTATTTGTAAAATAGAAATTCTAAAATTTAGCCTAATAAATCAAAATACACCGATTATAGTTTGATAATAAACTTGGTTAAAATAATTGGGTATTTTTTCATGGCTGCTTTGCAATATATAATTACGCACTAATCTTTACAATTTTTAGCATCACATATTGTTTCTTCTTTCATTTACGATAACCTTCAGTTCTATTTTAAACACATGTCAACATCAATATATTTGTAATATCCCAATGAGTAGAAAAAATGAGATTTTCTGACGTTTCATGACTCAGTGTAGTTTATTTCTTCAGAGAATATATAAATAACCAAATCAAAATTAATCCAAGTTTAAATAGACTATTAAAATTGATTTGGTTATTTATTCTCTGAAGAAGTGGCTTATACTGAGTCACAAAACGTTAGAAAATCTAATATTTCCTACTCATTGGGATATTACAAATATATTAATTTATTTATAACAATCTACCCAATGTCAAACAAATAGTTCCCTTTATTATCTTAAAGAGAGCAAGAACAAAGAAAGGTGCAGAATAATATGAATTCATTTTATTTCGTTAGATTCTCATCAGTTGTTTACAACCTAAAATATTTGAAAATCAAAGTTTGTAAGCAGCTAATGAGAACCTAACGAAATAAAATGAATTCATATTATTCTATACCAATCTTTGTTCATACTCTCTTTAATCTACACCTAATGCTCAATTTATTTACAATTATCCAATCAAACCTTTGTAATGATACCGACATATCAACATCATTATTTAAAGTATATATTAAAATATTGGGCGAGACTCTAATTTATGGACGATCTTCAGTGACCTTGAGAAATATTAGCCAATCAGCAAACAGCAAGCATCGAGTAAAACTACTATAAAAAAACCAAGGGAATAAAGTGGATACACTTCTTATACGTGGTTCAAAAATTTGTCAAGGTTAGAAAGAGGTTCAGAGATTCTAAAATCGTAATGCATGCAGCAGAGGAAATCATTCATACCGCTACAGAATAGTCGGCCTCCGGTTGTTGAGTGCACGCTCTTCAAACATCCGTATATATGGTAGTACCTGGCTGTAGCCAGTGTTACTGGTGTTTTTATTATCCAGTTCTCAATAATTGTCGTAATTTGCCTTAGTTAGGAATTATGTATGGGGTTTTCATCACGAACTGACATCATCTAAAATGCCAGAAATTTATTTAGCCAAATGGATGGAAGGCTTTCGCGTTAAAATCCGAGATCTATTATCTTATGCCTGATTGATTCGTCCACAAATTATAATCCCACCATTTTATTTGTTATAGCCGCTCAATT